TTTTTTTGTGTGTGTGTGTGGGAACCATGATACATTTTTTTCTGGATTCTTTGTTGAATAGAAAGTTCAAAAGAACAGCATTTATTTGAAATTAAAATTTATTGTAACATTATAAATGTCTTTACTGTCGTTTTTGATAATTTAATGTATCTTTCATGAATAAAAGTATTAATTTCTTTAATTTTTTTTAATTTAATGACTCCAAACTTTTGAAAGGTAGTGTGCATTAGGTGTAGGTCTGTCATTAGAAGGGTATATCTTGAACTAAAAGTAAATCGACCAAAATCCTGCAAGGTGCTCTGCTGGGTTTGATTTTTCACATTCCAGTTGCAGCGAAATGCCCTGTCAATGCTTTTTGATGACTGCTCTGTGTATCTCTGCTCCTCTGTTCATCCTGTTCCTCTCGCAGGGTCATGGCACTCATGCAGGGCTGCATAGTAATCAGATTCTCATTAAGGTTTGTCTCTTCTCTGCTGCCATAGCCTTCATCTCCAAGCCGCTCCATGTCTGGGACGGCTGTCTTCCTTCATGGCCCCTGAGATCTTGCTCAGTTCCCTCACTATCCCTCAGTCTGAGGTTTTCAGTGCTCTTATTGTTTCTCCTTTGTCTTTTCCTCCATCTGTTTTTCCGGGGTTTTCCTGTCTCCTTGTATTGGGGACTCACATGCACAGATGGTCTTTCCTCGTTACGATCACAGCTACATCTCGGCCGATCAGCCCAGTTTCCAGAGGCGTATGCTGAAGGTAGCATGTGTGCAAGGCATGTGCAGACACTCCCCTTACTAGATCTTCATCTTCCTCGTTTTTAACCCATGTCATTTTGCGTGATTGCTTGTGTTATTGTTTGTGTGTCTCAATATTTACAATCAAATAACCTCATCCATGTGTGAAGGATCAGAGCATTGCATGCAAGTTTGCTGCTTCAATGAATGAGGCTGATGCAGGGTGGATCTCACGAAAAAATATTTGGGTCATATTTTACCACATAATTAAAAAACAACAATAGACTTTATATTTTGGATAAGGAAGTGTAATGCGATATAATGTCACTATGCAAAAAATTTGTGCTGGGCAATGATTAATCACATCCAAAATAAAAGTTTTTGTGTATATAATATATGTGTGTGTACTGTGTATATTTATTATGTATATATAAATACACACACATGCATTTATATATTTAAGAAAAATATGTTATGTTTATATAATAAATATATTTATATATAATATAAATTATATGAATATAAATATATACATGTAAATACATGTTAATATTTTCTAAATATATACTATATGTGTGTGTCTTTATATATACATAATAAATATATACAGTACACACACATATATTATATACACAAAAACTTTTATTTTGGATGTGATTAATCATTGCCCAGCACTACAAAAAATAAATAATAATAATAATGATCCTGAAAATACTGTATTACAATTTTTTTATGAGATTCACCATTTTAGATGTATAAGAATCGACAGATTGTCATTATACACTAAAATTTGGTGTAGAATTTACTTTGAAATGATCTTTACTTAGAAATTGCTGATAGATTAAATATATATATATATACACACACACATATATATATATATATATATAACAGCAAGTAGCAAATACATTTTATTGTGTTAATGTGCTATTAACACAATAACATTTTATGTTTTATTTATAGCTTAGAAATATTTTTTACAGTGCTAAAGGCATAATTATTTTTTATTATTTATTAATGTAATATTATTATTATTATTATTCACTACAGGCTTATATACAATAAATAAGCTGTAATAATGAAACTTAAAACATCATCTTCCATTCACTTTTCCAAAAAAAAAAGATACTTAAACAAAATATATACTTCAAGAAAATTTTATTTGTGCTTTTGTTGTGCTTATGTTTTGCTGTGACTTATTTGAGGAATTTATTCTATATCACATGTCTATGTTTCCATCAGGGTGATCAAGGACAAGCTGGCCCACCTGGACCTCCAGGCCCTCCTGGAGCACCTGGTGCAAGAGGGCCCCCAGGAAACACAGGGAAGGACGGTCCCCGCGGCCCACCAGGAGAATCGGTAAGACGCTTCGCTCATTTTACCTGCTTCTGTGATGCCTTAAAAATTGTGCATTTCCTTGCTTAAAGGGGTCATCTCATGGAAATTGTACAGGCTACAACAGGATTATTTGAATCTTATTTGAATGCTCAAATATAACAACTCAAATCACAGAACAGACTATATCAGATCCAGTCAAGGCAAATAAATGTTTGCATAACCTCTGAAAGATATTGACAGATCTTACTCTCTTAATTGAAAATCAGTTTCATAAATCATATGTGCATTTTCATAAATGATAAGTGCATTCACAGTGGCCTGAAAAAAAGGTGTAGAAACATGGTGTAGAAAAAATTTGCTAATAATTACAGAGAAACAGTGAGTAACAATGTAAAAAGTTGAAGTAGAAAGACTGAAATAGTATTTTTTTGTAAAATGTCCTCCAATAATCTTTGTTTTATTCAACCCCTTGAAAAAATCATTTTACAGTGGATTTGGACACTTAAGCCATACTTAAACTTAACTAAACTTAACTGAAATAAAACGACACATCAAGACTAAAAAAGTGTACAGCAAAACTAAAAAAGTTCCTTTAATTAAACAAATGATATTTTGCTGAACCCCAAATCTCAAAAGCATAATGGAAACTCTTCTAAATGTCCATCACAACTTAACAATAAACACTAAAAAGTCTTTCTCTTTACTGAAAAACATACAAAATTACACTTAATTTTAATATTTATTCTCTGAGTGCAGTCCCATGCAAAGCATACAGGGAACTGCAAATCTACTGCCCAGTTTGTTACTGTTTGTCAACAAAACTGACTCATGATTCATATAGTCTCAACAAAAAATCATTACGTCGCAGCTTAAACATAATGAAATGAGTACATAATGAAAATAAGCCGTGACAAATGTTCAAGAATTGTGTTTGTTCAGCTCAATGTAACAGAGTCATTTTAAAAAGTTAAATATGTTAAAAAATGTAGTGTGTGTGTGTGTGTGTGTGTGTGTGTGTGTGTGTGTGTGTGCGCGATTAAAAAAAAAAAAAAAAAGCATACACAGAGTAAGCAAATGGTGTAGGGCACCAACTAACACCACAAACTGATTTTTTTTTTTTTACCTAGGGGACCCTAATTATACAATTAGATTTTTCTGAAGCTGTTTTTGTACTATAGCAGCCTGTGGTTTACAACAGTTACAGGTTGTACTTTAAAGGTTAGGCATTAGCGTTGCTCCGCTCTGGCCTCTGTCATCTGACGGTTGTGTTTTGTTCAGCCAGAGGTGATGGAGAGAGAGAGGTTAGAGGGGAAAGGGGCAAATCCAGTTCATCATTCGCCCGGCGGGGCGTTTGAAAACCACAGTCTATGCCAGTGCATTATGGCTCACCTAAAGCTAAACCAAATATAGATTTTAAGGCTCAAGACTCATCTGGTTTGGGTAAGACACGGCCACAGTGTGTTCTTGACGAGCTCTGATGTTCCTGAACGTCCCGAAAAGAGATATGGCACGAATCCAGGTTCAGGAACAGTTCTCCCACCATTTCTCTCCTTAGGTCGCTTCAAATTAAGTTCATCCTTTTTAGTTTCTTATCATGAAGGCAGTTTAATTTGGACTAAAAGTGAACTGGAAATGGTTTTATTTCACTCAAACTGGGCTGGTTCTCACTGGCATACTGGTCTGTCAATTTTGTTTTGCAATACCAGGCAGAAATTATTCCTGCATAGTGGCAAATTATGAGAGGCATTACATACTCTTTTCTGTGGAAGTCTGTAATGTCGCTCTTATTAGACTGTTAGTTTCACAAGCCAAGGTTTTGACTATCAGCAGTAAATCTGTAGCATATTATAGATTACTCTGGCCAAGAACCGTTCATTCATATATGAAGAAGCCGTCTGACTGACATTTTAAATTACCAAACTCACTTTGCTTGATTTTACACGACATTTGGGGGTTTGGCAAACATGTGGGGAATCTCATTTACTCAGGATTATCTGCATCAAACTATAGTTTAAATATATATGTGTGTATATGTGTGTGTGTGTACACACAAACACACACAAACACACATGCTACCATTCAAAAGTTTGGGGTCAGTATTTTTTTCAGTGAAATTAATGCTTTTTACAGCAAGGATGTAATAATTTGATTAAAAGTGACAGTAAAGACATTTATAATGTTACAAAAGATTTCTATTTCAAATAAAAGCTGTTCTTTTGAACTTTCTATTCATCAAAAATCCTGAAACGTATCATGGTTTCCACAAAAATACTGTTTTCAACATTGATAAAAATAAGATTTTTTTTTCCAGCAGCAAATCAGCATATTAGAATGATTTCTGAAGGATCATGAGACACTGAAGATTGGAGTAATGATGCTGAAAATACAGCTTTGACATCACAGGAATAAATTACACATTTAAATATATTCAAAAAGAAAAATAGCCTTCCAACAAATCAAAGTTTTGAATGGTATCAGTAAAAAAAACAAAAACATTATATATATATATATGTATAAGTAGCCAGTCTTTGGAAATCACACGCACACAAAAAGTAAAAAAAACAACAACAAAAAACGGTAAATGCATTAAATACATTAAAGGGTTAGTTCACCCAAAAATGAAAATTCTGTCATTAATTACTCACCCTCATGTCGTTTCAAACCCGTAAGACCTTCATTCATCTTCGGAACACAAATTAAGATATTTTGGATGGAATCTGAGAGCTTTCTGACCCTCCCATAGACAGCAAGGATACTACAACGATCAATGCACAGAAACGTATAAGGACATCAGTAAAATAGTCCATGTGACATCAGGGGTTCAACAGTATTTTTACGAAGCTACGAGCTACTTTTTATGCGCAAAGAAAACAATAATAACATAATTTATTCAGCAATTCTTCTCCCCGAGTTACCGTCTTCCGCCATTTTTGAAAAGTAACCCAGAACGTAATCAATGTAATCAGCGTTGTTTACGTTCAGCATTTTCATTTTTGGGTGAACTAACCCTTTAAATGTGACTATGTTAAGCATTTAGTCACATTTGGCAGTTCTAATATGCATATAGAAACAAGGTACTTATGTATATATAAACGAGGTACCAACATCTATACTACCCACTTCAAGCACAAAGTAACACAATTGTGATATCATTTGATGAGTCTAAAAACACATAGTAGGCTAAAACAGCACATGTACAAAGAGAGTCTGTGTGACTGTGCAGAAGTAGAGCTTTTCATAAGAGTCCTGTGGAAAAAAAACTAAGAGACGAGATGTTCTGTTTGCACAGCTCTACTTTGTCGTCAAGCTTGTGTTTAAAGAAATGTTTTATGAAAGCTGAAATCTATGAAATTCTGCACCATGTTGGTCACAGATGTTTCCCTGACATAACAACTTGCTAGCTAGTTATCTCCTATTGTTGTGTTTTTCACTGGCAAAACCACCTTGTTAAGAAGCACAGCTTGAAGGAAGATGGGGAAAGCGAACAGTACAGTGCTTCTGATTTTCCCAAGCGCTTCCTCTGGTTTTGTTCATTTTTGACAGGGAACATAAAATTATGTCTCTGTGTATTGTGGCTGAATACCAGCTTTGAAGTCTGCTTGACATAAAATACTACATCTGACTAGATTATGTGTATGCATATGTGTGCCATGTCTTCATTCATTCTGTTGATAATTTAGGTACAGAATGAGGACAAGAATATCGATTACAAAATGAAAAACATTGCTTGACATCCTAAGTTTATATCATAATACATTCACCCAGCACATCCTCCAAAAGATGCATGCAGTTATATACACTCTTTCTCTCTCTGTGTATGACAAAACACTTAAAACCTCTGTTATAAAATGATAAGAAACCTATAATAACTTAGCATCAATGTGAGCAGGTGTTTGCTATTGGTGGCTAATATTTGATGGCAAACGTTCAACCAAAATAAGCAAAGTTGTACATCACTGCCCCCTAGTGGTTAAATGGCAGACAAACCCGTCTGCAAAAAAAAATGCTGTGAAAATTAACTAGGTAATTAAAATTTTGATAACCTATCCTCTCAGCTTATAGGAAATGAATGGAAGGACAGTTCACATTTATCAAGTTAAATTTCTAAATAAAATAGGCTCCAGATTCACCCCAATTCACCCAAAAATGAACATTTACCTAAAATGGACTCACTCTCAGGCCATCAAAGATGTAGATGGGTTTGTTTCTACATCAGAACAGATTTGAAGAAATGTAGAAATTACATCACTTTCTCACAAATGGATCCTCTGCAGTGAATGGATGCCGTCAGAATGAGAGTTCAAACAGCTGATAAAAACATCACAATAATGCACAAGTAATCCACACAACTCCAGTCCATCAATTAATGTCTTATGAAGAGGAAAGCTGCGTGTTTGTAAGAAACAAATTCATCATTGTGTAGATGGGTTTGTTCTACATCAGAACAGATTTGAAGAAATGTAGAAATTACATCACTTTCTCACAAACGGATCCTCTGCAGTGAATGGGTGCCGTCAGAATGAGAGTCCAAACAGCTGATAAAAACATCACAATAATGCACAAGTAATCCACACAACTCCAGTCCATCAATTTATTTTATTTTTATTTACCTTTATTTAACCAAGTTTGGCCAAAAAACAAGTCCATAATGCATAATAACCTTTAGCTACAAGCTACTTTTTATGCGCAAAGAAAACAATAATAACATAATTTATTCAGCAATTCTTTTCCCCGAGTTACCGTCTTCCACCATTTTGGAGAGTATCCCAGAATGTAATCAATGTAATCAGTGTTGTTTACGTTCAGCATTTTCATTTTTGGGTGAACTAACCCTTTAAATGTGACTATGTTAAGCATTTAGTCACATTTGGCAGTTCTAATATGTATATATAAGCAAGATGTAGATGGGTTTGTTTCTACATCAGAACAGATTTGAAGAAATTTAGAAATTACATCACTTTCTCACAAATGGATCCTCTGCAGTGAATGGGTGCCATCAGAATGAGAGACCAAACAGCTGATAAAAGCATCACAATCATGCACAAGTAATCCACACAACTCCAGTCCATCAATTAATGTCTTATGAAGAGGAAAGCTGCATGTTTGTAAGAAACAAATTCATCATTACGGCATTTTAACGCTAAACCATCACGTTTGGCCAAAAAACAAGTCCATAATGCATAATAACGCTTCCTCCAGTGAAAATATCCATCCCATTTTGTCCTCTCACATCAAAATCCACCAACATATATTTGTTTAGAACTGTTTTAGACTTTTCACTTATAAATGGTGCTTGATCTGTGCATATCTCTCTCCTGATTCAGACGACAACTTTTTTCACTTGAGAAAGCAACATTATGGATAGAGGACTCGTATTTTACAATTAAATTATGTCTCAATGATGGATTTGGTTTTTACAAACACAGAGCTTTTCACATCACAAGCCATGAATTGATGGACTGGAGTCGTGTGGAAAGCGCTATACATATAAATTTGACTTGACTTGATATTTAATGTGAAACTTATACCACAAACTAACCCAACAAGCCATTTAATGTTAATAATGATGCACTGCAACTGAAGGATTGGCACATGACATTTGGTTCTCCGGTCTCTTTTAAAAAAGAGCTCTGGCATCAATCAAACACTGGCGTACATCTTGAAAGTTTGGTGTATTAAAGTAACTCTTAAATACTTTCTGTCTCTCTAGGGTGCTCCTGGACAAGAAGGAATGGAGGTGAGTGGAACCAGCACTGTTTCTGATCAACATGGTCATGGTCTTCATGGCTCACATTATATTATTGTATGTTACTTTCCTCTGCAGGGACAAAAAGGTTTACCAGGAAAACCGGTAAGATTAAAACATATAAAATCTGTGTGTGTGCTCATCCTTGAGGCCAAGATGTTTCTTGTTTTTTTAGGAAAATGTCTTGCTTTCGCAATTTTCTGAAAGACTAAATTCTTTCCTCTTGGCATAAATATGAACAGCATGTTTGAGTGTTTTGCCTTTTGTGCTATAGTGCTTGCTGACTTAAACACTGACGTCTGGTTGCACTGACATCTGTATGAGGTCTTGAATTAGTTTCTGCCTGTTTCACTGGAATGACTTCTAATGTGTAATATCAGTTTGGTTTTAGTACATGTGTGAGACTAAGATGAGAAACATACTGTATGCGAGTATGTTCTAGCCGTGGTGTTGCAGCCGCATGGACCTGTTGTACAAAAAGTCAGCATGAAATGGTGTTCGCAACCATTTTTAATTCTGTAATGTGATTTTATTTCTAAGTGAAACAGGATATAAGAAACATGTTGGTGCTGGACTATATTTTTTATCTGTGAAAATTGAAAAGTGCTATTTGTATGTGACTGGAGGGGGTTTTGGTGATGTCCACCAAAAGGAAAATGTTTCCTTGAAGAAGAAAGCTTTTACATTGAAAAATTACCAAGACCAGGATTTTAAATTTTTTGAATTTTGAATAATTTGCAATTATGTATTGTTCACAACACTGTAAAATCCAATAGTTTACCTTACTTAGATTTAGTTAGTTATCTTTACTTAGTTGTTGTACTTACTAGGTTTTATTAAGTTACAGCTACTTTCAAGGCAAATAAAACAATTTACTATGATCGGTCTTCTAATTAAAGCATTAGTGTATTATTAGTGTGTGTTTATTAATGAACTTTATCAAATTTCTTTTTACATAAATACCTTGAGATGCTTTTATTTGGGTTTATATAATCCTTAAATTGTGTGTGGTAACATGCTAAAGTCACACACAGACTTAAACATTCAGCACGTGAATCACAACAATGGTAACAATTCAATTTCATTTATTTTCATTACTTGTAACAATAACCATTTTATTTGCTAGTAAACCTAAATGAAAGGATCAAGTACCCCCTACAGTTCTTTTGTAGTTACTAGAACTCTCGTGTAAGTAAACTATACTAACTAAGCATCTGTCAGTACAACATACTATTCCTATTTCACTTTACTTCGTTTTTTCAAGGCAATCAGTTTGCATGCTTTTTTTAAGTAAGCCCAACTAATTAGATTCTACAGTGAATAAGACCATCAACATTAAGAAAGTAAGTAGGGTAAATAAAAAAGAAAACTTTCTTTCTTGGTTTTCTAAATACATCTTACTGATCTTATTGTAAACGATTCATGTGTGCATATGTTTCTTTTTTTTTATATATATAATTATTTACCTTTAAGCCCATCATTTTAAATCAAAATGTCATAACTTAATCTTCTGGTGAGTGCCAGGGTTGTAATTGTTAACTAAAACTAAAACCAAAAGAAAACATTCATTACTTAAACTAAACTACATAAAATTAACATTATATTTTATTTTATTTTATTTTAACTAGTTGCCAATGCACCGTTTTTAATTTTTGTTTAGTTAAGTTGATGTATTAAAATAATTAATATAACCTGCAATAAATTAAAACAAAATAATAAAAATAAAAACTATATAAAATGTTCAACAAAATGACTACAACTTTTACTAAAATAAAAATGAAAACAGAAAAAATAAAATATAAAATAAAATCTAATTTAAAATATTAACAAAAATGATAATCGTATATAAGAGCAAGCTCTCATTCAGGTCTGCCTCCATCCAATCAACAACTGATGGACAGATCCAATATCACAATATGGAAGAACAAATCTGTTGCTTTTTCCACGTTTTAGTGTTGAATGTCTTTAAATGCCTGTAAACTGGATGTTTAACTGTTTTACAGGGTGAAGTTGGTGATCAGGGTTACCCAGGACCACAGGGACCCCCAGGTCAGTGTGCTTGACTGTATTGGTTTGATTTGGGCTTTGTATTTCTCAGGGAGATGTTGGAGAACAAGGGCCCCAGGGCGAACCGGTGAGGAACGATGCATCATACGTTTATTCAAAGTGTGCTCATTCAATTTTATGCTGACCATTGTTTTGGACTTTCATAACTTGAATGTGAGGCTTCCAGTGTCATTTGCTTTCAGTGATTTTAGCTGTACACAAAGAGTCAGTTATGCTGCTTGAAATTTTAATTTACTGTCATAATCGTAAATATGCACTGGTTTGTAGCACAAATAGCTTTCCAGAGTTTAAAAAAATTATTTAAAAAAAATTATATTGCACCTAACTTGCATTTAAAAATACTATAGTATTGTACACTTAGGATACAATGTATAAAAATTGAGTGTACCTTTAAAAACATAAATCGAGAAATGAACAAGCAAATGCAACAAAAGTCCATTTTGCTAGCAATGCCAAGATCATAGGTTTAATTCTCAGGTAATACATGAACTGATATAATGTATATCTTGATTGCAATGTATGTTGCTTTGGATGAAACAAAAGCAGAGAAGCACCTCTTCACATCTGAGAATACTTACATATGTGTGATCAGTTGTGTAACAGTTGTTTTGATCGTGGCAGGGCCGCCCTGGTGAAAAAGGCACATCAGGATCCGGTGATATCATTGACTTCAATGGCAAACTCTTAGATGCCTTTCAGGTGAGCCGTGATTTTGTTGATGGCAATTGCTAGAAAAACTTCCTAACGACTGTTATTTTTGCCAGTCGGTCATCTGGATTCATGTAAACTAGATGTTACTGGTTAGACTTCTTGTAATGCAATTATGTAAACAACAGATGACTATAAATTCATGGTTATATTAAAACCAAATGCCATAATATGTTCTGAAATTGCAGTCAGACTTGATTTTTTTTTCTTCTGGCAGGCCATCAAAACCATCAGTGTCTCGGTAACTGTACTGTAGCATGAGTTGCCATTTTTGGCTATTTCAGTTGAACTTGCAGCCTAATTATCCTTAACAAATACTCACTGTGTGTGCTTGTGAATTTAAAACAATTCATTATTATTTCAGCATATCATGCTAATTCAAAATAGATCATTCAAGATACATTTTCAATAATTCAATATAAATATTATAATCAAAGCTGGTAGCATGCATGCAACATTGTTGTAAAATGGTGTGAAGCAAACATCGCTGACTAAATGAAATGTAAAAAATAATTAAAATAAGAATGCTTTGAAACATATTCTTTATGTAACGTACCAAGACATATTTTATCAAATTAGATGTCGTTAGTTGCAAATGTTGTTGTTCTTGTATTGAGAATGTGGATCTGGGTTGTTTAATGAATGCTTCTTGCGGTTACATGTTTACATGTTCTAGACGATGCCATTCTTTGAAATTCTGTGTTTTGTCACATTGCAATTGAGAAATAGGAGGAAAAATTAGGAATTTTATCGTTTTGGACATTTGCAAGGCTTTGTGGTCATCTCTATCAACAGTATAATCAGTCTGAAATGTTTATCGAACCACAAAGCGTGACAGATACATTGAATACGGTGACAAGGAAATGCAAAAATGTCGGCCGTAATTATGGTTTGTATCAGTCTAAAGAACAGCAATATTTCCTTCAAAGAATGCCATCAACATTGTGAAGTATCATTCAGGATGTTGTTTTCATACTCCACAAGATTTCACATGAAGAATTATATTGGAACAACATTTCCTGTTTTATAGCAGTCGTAAAATGAGGTCTATCAGAGGTTTGTGGTTCTCAAAATGTAAAGTGGTTTTGCAAAAAGAGCATTTTATAAGCTTTAATTATGTCTGTTCCGCTTGCTTAACTAACAGGGACCACCTGGCCCTCCTGGACCCCCGGGACCACCCGGAAAAGAAGGTTCAAAGGTGAATATCGAAATCTGCTAAACTCCTAATGAGTGGCTCAGAGTGTGTTGTTTCCATGATTTTTGTATTTAAAGCCACACAAAGCTTGTGCTAGAACTAAATGATCTAATTCATATCAATTCTGAACTTCTGTGTGTTTCATTCATCCAAACAGGGTGAACTTGGCTTGCCTGGCCCTGCTGGGGTTGATGGCGAAACGGTGATAATTGGTTCAACTCATTTACAAGAATATCAGTTGTTTTATTTTTATTTTATAGAAATATACAAAGTTTTGCAAGGACAAGCACCTATATAGAACCTACAGCATATGAGCTATTCTGATGTTCATGCAGATGAGTTGCTAATCAATATTTGGATTGTTTTGATCATCAGGGTGAAAAGGGAGACACTGGGGAGCCTGGTGAACCTGGAGACAGGGGGGAGAAAGGAGAAATGGGCCTCTCTGGTCCCTCTGTAAGTATTCAAAGTGATAAATCTTCTAAATCCAATTTATTTGTTGTCATATTATCATTTATAATATTAATCAAATGTGTTATAGGGAATGGATGGGCAGAAAGGAGAGAAAGGAGAGTCTATACTAGAAGACAATCTGGTCAGTACAATTGCACCCACATTTTTTTATTTTTTTATTAATATTCTAGTATTAAGAATACAGTTATCTTTAGCTGTGGTTTTATGGCTGTCTACAGGTTCAGATGATTTCACAGCCTGGACCACCAGGGCCTCCAGGTCCACCAGGACCACCTGGATACATGGTGAGGCACATCTTAGATATGCATGATATTATGCTTTCAGTTAATTTGATAACTTAACCTGACCATAAATTCTCCCTTCTTTTTTTGCCATTTATCTGCAAGATCTTGACTTTTAAGAGTGATATCATAACATCATTCAAAGATTATGACAGATTTTTATTTGTGTTTTAGGGTCATCGTGGCTTGTCAGGCCCCAAAGTAGGTGTTTATTTTATTTTATTTTTTATTATTCAGACTTTAAACAAAGTCTATTCATTTAGTGATTTATCCTAAATTGAGTGGTTTATCAAACTTTTTGTCTTGATATGAAACACGTCATCATAAAGCTAACTTAACTACTTTAAACTTCCTAATAAACGGAGATATCCAGTAAAATCATACTCCATGCATTGTATCAGTCTAACGCTGTATTGAATCTCTCATAGGGCGATCCAGGGGAGAGTATTAAAGGAGAGAAGGGAGAAACTGGTGCTGCAGGAATACAAGTGAGACCACATCTAATCTCATAATGCACTAGTCCAGGATTTAAAAACAAAAGCAATATTCTCAAACATGAAACATGACTGGCCTGTGGATGTTGTGATTATGGTGTTATCCATATTCATAACATCTGTAAGCCATAACCATACCATATCCAATGTTTTATACCTATTATTATGTTTTATAGGGCCTTCATGGTCCTCAAGGGGCCCCAGGAGCAACAGGATTAGTTGGTCTTCCCGGCACAAAGGGTGAAAAGGTAAATCAAATCATAAATTCAACTAATTGCTATTTTTAATGACAATTAAGTTTGAGCAGATGTATTTGTGGGGTTTATCTGATTCTTTTTATCTCTCTTTCATTATTTCAGTATTCTCTTTTTAACCCCTCTGTGGTGCTTTATGAATGAATTTTGATTTGATTTGATAAATGTCAGAAATAATGCCTAGACCTAACTGTAAAATAATATTACATTAGTACCTTCCAGATAATCCACACATAAAATATAAATGTAGCTAAAAGTATTTTTGTTATCTTTCACAGGGAAAACAAGGGGAACCTGGATTAGATGTAAACAGCATTTATTTATTCATTCATTCATTCTTACTGTACATACATCTTAAGGATTGATCTTTTGTTTTTCAATGGAAGTTTTCCAGTGTAATTTTGATTTTAATTTACTGTAGGGTTTTCCTGGCATTAAGGGAGACAGGGGTGATCGTGGAGAGAAAGGAGACAGGGTACTGTATGATATTTACCTCAGATAATCAATGAAGCCTTCATACATGTTCAAAAAACAGTCATTTATTCATTTACTGACTGTACATAGTCTTTTACTTAAAACGATCTTGTGGATCCTCCTGTTCACAGGGAGATCGCGGTCCTGTTGGAAAGAGAGGGCTCAAGGGAAAGAAAGGCGAACAGGGGCCGCCGGGTCTGGACCAGCCCTGTCCCGTGGTGCGTGTTATAGCTACTTTTCATGTTTATATGTGGTGATGTGTTACAGATTCATGCTGCTGAAAATCCAGTGAAAAAACATACCGGGTAATTCTGTCAGGAACAACAAAGTGTGCCCATCTGGGAACACCGATATTTCACAGACATCTTTTTCCCTTTTCCACATTTCCTCACCTTTCTTCTGTATGTTTCTATAGACTGATGTTCTGCTTCAGTTTCTCTTTGATTGGACTCTCTAGCGTGAGTGTGTGTGTCTTGTTTGTTTTTAGTCATTATGGCAGTGTATATTGTATATATGTGCTCTCGCTGACAGGGAGCTGATGGATGTAAAAAAGAGGCAGTGGAAACGGGGCAGCCGGCCCCTGAGGCCCCCTGCCCACTGGTACAGTATATCTGCCTGCTTCTCTCTCTGCTCTGTTTATACCTGCAGATTTCTGACACTTCCTGCTTTCGCTGTTAACTACTTCTTTTAAACTATCCTGTGTCTGTCATATACATACTGGTACATTACCGTTCAAATGTTTGGGGCCAGTAAGATTGATTTATTTGAAAGAAATTAATACTTTTATTCAGCAAGGATCAAAAGTGGCTGCACAAACTATAACACGTTCTTTTTCAAATAATTGCTCTTTTGAACTTTATATTCATCAAAGAATCATGAATCTGTTTTGAACTTTATATATATATATATATTCAACTTTAATAATAAGAAGACAAATCAGCATATTAGAATGATTTCTGAAGGATCATGTGAGACTGAAGAATGGAGTAATGATGCTGAAAATACAGCTTTGAATCACAGCAATAAATTACATTCAAAAAAATGTTCTTTTACATTGTAATGATATTTGACAATATTGCTGTTTTTAGCCTTGGTGAGCAAAAAGACTTCTTTCAAAACATTAGAAAATCTTACGACCCGAACATTTAAATGGTAGTGTATATACAACACAATAGAGATTACAGTTAGAGAACATTCATGTTTATTCAAGGTTTATAAAGCCCAAACTGATGCATTAAATATTAACTAAGATCGACGAGAAACATTGTAACTTGTCACGCAAAATCTCATTCATATTTTATTAGTGTTACTCCATAACACGGCATTATTGTGGCGTTTTGCAAGCATGTTTTTTTTTTTTTTTTGTGGTGTTGTGATCATTTGTGGAGTTTGAGATTTTAGGTTGAAGTCTTCATATTTATTTAAAAAATATGTAGTATTATTAGGATTTTGTGTGCAGTGTATGCTTACAGACAATTGTGAAAATTACAATTGATAATTTTTAAAAACCATTTTAACATGAATTTGTTAATTAGAATTGCAATACAGTTGAAAACGGATTCTTTGCTCTTACACCCATTTTTTTTTTTTTTACATTCAAGGGTCCTGATGGACTTCCAATACCAGGTTGCTGGCACAAGGTCAGTAAAACAAAGCATTTATGATACTTGAATATTCCATAACCATGTCTGTACAGTTCATGTGTGTGACTTTAACATTAACAACTGCCTATTTAAATGAATCGACTGCAGTGTGCATCAGTACACATGCCACATAGCTGTTTTATGTTGCAGTTTTGGATTTTTATTTTGGATTTGGCTTTGCTCATCACTAATATCATTTGTTTGTTGTTTTTTTTGCAGTGATGTGTAACCTGAGGCATGTCGTCTGTACATATTGATGTGATATATATTGCTATTTCATACAGCTTTTTTCACTTTTTAAATATTTTTACATTTTATAAAGACAAGAGACTTCAATTAACATTCATCAGTGTTATTTTTTCAACCTTTTTTTATCAGAAGTTGTGGACCAAATAGTGGACACTGCTTTTTTTGGTGTCCATTTAGGTTATTGAATTCTTGAATGAAATCTTTTTTTTTTTCTTTTTTAATTCCTGGAGCATAAAATGTCAGTATTGTTCACCATAAGATGCCTGTAATGTGCCCGGGGAATGTTGCATGGGCATGCTGGACCGACCCGCTCAACTGGTGCCAATACAAGAATTTTGCATCATATCCCCTTTTATTTTCAAAGGAACAGGGAATGCTTCAGAAACTCAAGAGGAAACATCTCTCCCAGCCTTGATTGTCTTCAAGAACCCGAGGAGTTTAAATGACTTTACAGTCCCTCAAATGACGGCATCTCAATAATATTGGTTAATATTGACTGTCCTCAGTATGCAGGTCGAATGAGGGTGCAGACAGCCCTCGCTATGGTCAATTTTTTTCATGGAGGAACATAGTTGAGCTCTTGGAGATGATAAGAGATCAGGGATTGACCTCATGGATGCAGTTGCTCCACAAGACGGCAACAGCAGCCTGATATAAGAGGCTTTGGCATCGGAGATGATACTGAACAGATCCTTATTTTAAGAATATCAATGAACAGTAATTTATAATGATTTATTTCTTATGTGTTACTGTTTTATGCTTGTTTTTTTGTAGTTTTTAACCCGCAAGCAAAAACACAAAGCATCTGGAATTGACGCCCAAAGACTAACTTTGGATGGCGAGCATTTACTTATTAATGCATAAATCATTGATAACAAAAGAAATACTACATCTGTTTTAAATCAGCTCAGCATATACTGAGTGAGAATAGAATGTTATATCGTACCTGTTTATTTACTACTGCATCTACATGTTGCTCACATTTGTTGTGATACTTCGAGATAGAGTATATGTTGACTGTGACTACCTGACGTTGTTTTTAACATCACAATCCTTGATACGTATTCCATAATATTGTTCATAGTAATTTATGATATATATACTGCAGTGCTTTTTGAAGATGGCCAAAACTGGAGGTGTTTTCATAGCCTCAGTTCAGCTATTATGAGGACTCAAGTTTAAGGCTGTTTTTTATGTTTGACAAAGTATTGCTCTATTATCTTTCATAGCATGAAAGCAAAGAAGACATTAGAGATTCCATTTTATCAGTCTCATTTTCTTTCTTTGGCTTTCCAAGATTTAACACAGAGAAAAGACAACCAGAAGAGATGTTTTTTTTTTAAAGGCATTTTAGCATGTTCAGCATACATTTCCATGATGGTGTACCCGCTTTCAGGGATTTAAAACCATTCTACATAAGCTTTTCTGAAATATTTATTGTTCATATTAAATAACTGGTGTAAAAGTTCTTATAATGCATATATGTTACAGATAATGCATTTGAATTTTTATAAGCCTGTCTTTGGTGTTAAATGGCTGACAAAATGTTGCTATGTTACTATGTTGTGATTTACATAACTGTAAAAAAAAAAAATTGATTGACCAACGGCATTATAGCACCATTTTAGAAACAAAACAGAATGGGAGGGCATTTTCAGAACATTTTATTGCTTAACTTTTTGTTTTTCCTTTGAATTTCTTTACAGGTGTGTTTTTTTTCCAAACACAAATAATGTTTGATTTTGAAGATACAGAAAGATGATTTTGAAGATATTTTGCTGCTGAAACAGTATTTGTATTTAATAGTTGACATGGGGTAAGGAAAACAGCCTTACCGACTGCCTGACAGCCATTACATGCATTGGTTTGCTTTCAAAGATGTTTTATAAAATAGAAATTAAAGTTTGTTACTAGTAAATTAGTGAAAACTGTCTTTCCTTTGACCTTGGTCATGGTCAAAAAGTGTGTGGTGTTTCAAAAGTTCTCCACAATCCACTGTAAGCTCACATTCAGACTGTTTCTCTGACACTTTTCATGGTCAAATCAATTCCTAATGGATGAAATCAAATCCTGCACTTTTTCATCATTGCATGAATATTCTGTTTCACTTGAAAATTATGTCACAGTGCGCAAGTAATGAGTAAGAGTGCAGTTTTCTGTTGACTTTAAATGCCAAGGTAATTAAACAGGTTATGACATAAGATTTTTTTGAGGTTTTGACATATAAAAATGTTTGTAACATTTAAACATCCTGCAGGTTTCATAACTTAAAATATCTTCCTCGTTATAAATAAAGCATTTATTAAAGCTCCAAAAATGGCTCGTTTAGATATTGTGGGATCTGTGACGTCATGTGGACAAATATATTTGCATATGATCATCCATTATAAGCCCCACCTACGTGTGTTCACCAGATGCAAATTAAGCAAATCTAACCAATTATAATCACTGGCGCTGTATATTGGATATGGTGTGCACTGTGCATTAATTTTCTGACATACTCCACGCGCTTGAGTCTGCTGACAGCAGAACAACTTGTTGGTGGATTATATGTTTATTCTGAGCATTTGACTAAATGATGTTTTATTAACAAAGTTCGGGAGGAGCGTGTCGGATACTTAGCCTAATTAACACAAGTGGAGCGCACTCAAGTTAATCAACACCAATAGGTATAAATACAGCTGACTTACCTCTATCCATTGATGGTTTATCAGCATCCCTCCACCGCCCCATCTCCTCACTTCGAGTTCTTACTACACCTATTCGGTGTACTTCAGTACTTCAGCTAATTATATGTTAAGTGTGAACTTGTGAAAGATTGTTTTGTGAACAAGGCACAGTGTAATGGAGAGTTCATAAAGAAACTCTTGTTGAAAGATAAAGCAGCCAACTGTATTGGATCTGACATCAGCTGCATCGCAAACCGTAAGTAAAGAGTTTCATAATGCTTTGTTTGTAAATGACGGTTTTATATGGATAGGATGTTTTTAAAACATGCACTGGCGTGCTATAGCAAGGGGGTGTTGATATTATTTTCTATGCAATGATGTTAGCCAATCATAACAGTGGTAGTTTACAGTCAAGCCTTAAAGGAACCACCCCTTAAAATGGATAAGGATCAAAATGAGGGTTGGAAATTTAGTACATCAGTGACAAAAGTCTTTGAAAAAACAAAGGGCAGGTTGCTGGTCTGGAACCTTCAGGTGTGTGTTAACACAATGCTAAAGAGGAAAGACATCAGCAATAATCTTATAGTAGCAATTGTTGATGCCTTCAATCTGGGAAGGGAAATACAGCTATTTCCCAACAATCTGAAGTCCATCATTTCACAGTGAGGAAGATTATTCACATGTGGAAGACATTGAATCTTCCCAGGAGTGGACATCCCAGGAAAATTTACCCCATGGTCAGACTTTACAATACTCCGTATAATAGACAGTATACAATAGAAATGGCAGACAACCCAGCAACTATAGCTCAAACTCTACAAGCCTCAGTTAACATTTTAAATGATAAAGTTTGTGACAGTACAATTAGGAAAAGACCAGAAAGTATGGTATGTTAGGAAGAGGTGCCAGAAGAAACAAACATCTCATACTAAAAGTCACACATGCTGGTGGAGGGCTATTCTAGAGTCAAATCTGAGCCCATCCATCCCGACAGCTAAAGCTTGGCCAAATTTTCAGCAGGACAATGATCCCAAACACACCAGCAAATCTACAACAGAACGGTTGAAAAAGAAAATAATCTAAGTGTTGCAATAGCCCAGTCAAAGTCCAGACCTCATCCTGACTGAAATGCTGTGGTGAGAGCTGTGCATAAACAAATGCCCACAAACCTCAACCAACTGGAGCACCGTTTTAAAGAGTGGGCCAAGAACGATGTTAGAGACTGATAAAGTCATACAGAAAATGATTACTTCATGTTGTTGCTGCTAAAAAGATCTAATATGTCCTGCCAAGAACCAGAAGATTTTTTATAATAAATACAGCTCATGAAAGTAAAAAATCCAGTATTCAGGTCATTCAGTGACCATCCCTACAGTATAAATTCCGGGTATCTCTTGTTCTTTGAAACCAAAACAATGGGGAAGACTGCTGATTTGGCAATGGTCCAGAAGACAATCATTGACACCCTCCACAAAGAGGGTAAGGCTAGTGTGAAGTTTCTGAAATCAGCGATGATTTGGGGTGCCGTGGTGTTGGTCTGCTGGTGTTGGTCCATTGTGTTTTATCAAGTCCAAAGTCAATGCAGCCGTCTACTAGGAGATTTTGGAGCACTTTATGCTTCCATCAGCTGACAAGCTTTATGGTGATGCTGATTTCCTTTTCCAGCAGGACTTTAGCACGTGCCCACACTTCCAAAAGGTTTGCTGACCATGATATTACTGTGCTTGATTGGCCAGCCAACTTGCCTGACCTGAACCCTATATGGAATCCATGAGATATTTTCAAGAGAACGATGAGAAACCGTCGATTCAACAAGACAGACTAGCTGAAGGCTCAATAGCGCCTCAGCAGTGCCACAGGCTGATTGCTTCCATGCCACACCTCACTGATGCTGGAGTTTGTGCTAAAGGAGCCCCGACCAAGTATTGAGTGCATAAATGAACATACTTTACACTTTTCGAACTTTTCTGTTTTGCAAATCCTTTTTTTT